TGTGGGAAAGCATCGGAGATGGAAGGCAGCTGTATGGAGTCCTGGACGACAAGTTGCAGAAACTGCTGACGGAGAGGGTGAATCGAGTCAGTTTGCCGAGGTGAAAGCCATCCAGCTGGCCCTGGACATTGCTGAACGAGAAAAGTGGCCAGTACTTTATCTCTATACTGACTCATGGATGGTGGCAAATGTCCTGTGGGGGTGGTTGAAGCAATGGAAGCAGAGCAACTGGCAACGCAGAGGTAAACCCATCTGGGCTGCTGCACTGTGGAAAGATATTGCTGCCAGGGTGCAGAACCTGGTGGTGAAGGTACGTCATGTAGATGCCCATGTACCCAAGAGTCGGGCCACTGAGGAACACCAGAACAACCAACAAGTGGATAAAGCGGCTAAGATTGAAGTGGCTCAGATGGACTTAGATTGGCAACATAAAGGTGAATTATTTTTGGCCTGGTGGGCCCATGACACTTCAGGCCATCAGGGCAGAGATGCAACATATAGATGGGCCCGTGATCGAGGGGTGGACTTAACAATGGACACTATTGCCCAGGTTATTCATGAGTGTGAAACATGTGCTGCAATTAAACAAGCCAAGCGGTTAAAGCCTCTTTGGTATGGAGGACGATGGTTGAAGTATAAATATGGGGAGGCCTGGCAGATTGACTATATCACACTGCCACCAACCCGCCAAGGCAAGCGCCATGTGCTTACCATGGTGGAAGCAACCACCGGGTGGCTGGAAACATACGCTGTGCCCCATGCCACTGCCCGGAACACTATCCTGGGCCTTGAGAAACAGATTCTGTGGTGACACGGCACCCCAGAGAGAATTGAGTCAGGCAATGGGACTCATTTCCGAAATAACTTTATAGATATTTGGGCCAAAGAGCTTGGCATTGAGTGGGTATATCACATCCCCTACCATGCACCAGCCTCTGGGAAAATTGAACGGTACAATGGGCTGTTAAAAACTACACTGAGAGCGATGGGTGGGGGAACTTTCAAGCATTGGGATACACACTTACCAAAGGCCACCTGGTTGGTCAACACCAGAGGATCTGCCAACAGGGCTGGCCCAGCCCAGTCAGAACTTTTACATACTGTAGAGGGGGACAAAGTTCCCATGGTGCATATGAAGAATTTGCTGGGGAAGACAGTCTGGGTTATTCCTGCTTCAGGTAAAGGCAAACCCACTTGTGGGATTGCTTTTGCTGAGGGACCTGGATATACTTGGTGGGTAATGCAGGAAGATGGAGAAGTCCGATGTATACCTCAAGGGGATTTGATTTTAGGGGAAAACAGCCAGTGAACTCAATTGTATGCCGTTGCCTGCTGTGTAATGCTTTTATAGCCCATCAACTAGATGTCTCCAGGTCACCAGCGACTGGCCCTGACTTCCCTCCAGCCATCATCCCAACAGAGAATGAACTTTGAACATCATGGACCGAATGGACTCGGCAGCATTATAGGGATTGGTCCATGCACTAAGAAAATGATCTTTTCCTCTTGGTCTGTATGTATATGAATGTATATATGTGGGAGAGCGATGGTGTATTGAAAATGTGGGATCTGAGCATGACGTGAATGGTATGGAATAAGGGGTGGATAATGTCCTGGGTTCAGCAGTAGCAGTCATGTTTTTTTTTTTTTTCCTTTGTGCTAGCTGGTGCAGTGCTGTGTTTTGACTTCCAGCCTGAGAACGGTGTTGGTGAAGTCGATGTTTTCAGTTGTTGCTAAGTGATGCTTACCCTGACCAAGGACTTTGTGAGGCTCATGCTCTGCCAGGGAGGAGGGGAAGCCGGGAGGAAGCAGAAATGGGGCGTCTGACTCGGGCTAGCCAGGGAGGTATTCCATACCACAGCACGTCATGGCCGGGGTGGGGGGTGACTGGGAGTTACCCGGAAGGACACGGGCTTCCGGGTGGAACTCGTCTTCCCTGCCGGTGGTATCGTATTCTCTTCCCTTGTTATTTTCCCTTATCATTGTTGTAGTTGATAGTAGTGGTGGTGATTTGTGTACATTGGTTGCTGGACTGTTCTTGTCTCAACCCGTGGGAGTTGCACTCTTTCGATCCTCCTCCCCGTTCCTCCGGGAGTGGGGGAGAACCCCGGTGGGGGGGGGACACGGACCTCGATTGTTGTCAGCTCGGCACCACTCACTGGGAGTGAGTGAACAAGTTACCTGACTGGGTTTAAACCACGACACATCTCTATGTGAATTACTTCATCTATTTTTGGCACATTGTATATTCGAATTGTAATGTGTCTTGGAAGGGTGTGCTGTATACAAACTTTCAGATGTTCATTGTTCAACAATTAATAAATTATGCACTGTGTTTCAGGGTGGTTTAGATTCTTAGTCAAATTTTCCCTGTGCTTCCAGTAGCTTTGGCCAGCCCTAATCAGAAACAGCGCTACTACTTACCCTTTCATAAAGGCAAACCTTTAGAGAGCAACATAAATGTTAATTAATTTACTCTGACCTCACTCCTCTGAGGTAAATAGCTGTATCATTTTCCCTTTCTGTTCAAATGAGAACATTAAAACACAACTGAAGTGACTTGCCTATGGTAACACAGCAAATCAGTGGCAGAAGAAGGGCTGGAATTCAGAAAATCTTGTGGTTCTTGGGGCCTGTCTACACAGGGAAACTAACTGAAATGTCAGCTGTGCATCCTCCATTTGTAACAACTAGTCAAGCAGAGGCCAGTGCGTGAGTACTCTACCTAAGAGAGTCCTTTTGTTCTGGAATAAATTGTGCATTATTGAGGCAAGGTAATTATTTTGGAATAAAAGCCCTCTTATTCCTGTTATTCTACATCAGCTGTTCTGACAACTTCCTTATATAGGCAGGACGTAAACTCTAAATTCTCCTCCTCACCAAACCTAGTTAATTATTGCTTAATTATAAAAGCACAAAACTGTTTGTGCTTCAACATAAAAAAAATAAACGAGTTCTGGATACCCTGAGACCTCTGAGAACAAGCGCTGCACCTGAGCGCTGCTGCCCCCCTAACTGCAGCTCTAGACACCAAGGAGAGCATGGTGAGAACAGCGTCTTGTCCATGCCTCATGCTGGCAGGCCCTGCTACCAGATGTTGACCTCTTAGATCTGGATTCAGGCAGAGACCGCAGGGGCCCTGGAGCAGGAACCAGCTCCTGTGCTGGACTGTGGCCAAGAGGGTGTGTGCCTCCACTGCAGCCTCATCTCAGATAGCACATAGGCTAGGCTAGTGGTTGGTGTCAGGCACTTCTCCCTTCCTGTGTGTCCGAGTATCTCCCTCATCTTATGATCTGACAGAGCAGCAGTGTGTGAAGGAAGATAGAAAACGGTTTGGGAATGCACTAGCCTCATTAACCTCATTAAAGAGCTTGCAAGCCACAGCCTCACTATCTGAATTCTTCTGAGGAAAACAAATCTGGTAATTGCACCCTATGGCTCCTAATGCTGCAGTCACATCCGGCACCTTTTCCTTTGTAGGAAATAGGCTAGAACTGACACAAAAAGCTTTTATATGTAAAATACACCAAACATTTCAGGTTGGTGACATAAATGTATTTAAATATTGAAAATGTTCATATTTGTCTTTCTGGATTGACAATCTCTTTTTATTTTTTTTTTTCATGCAGAGCAGCACAGAGATTCACCCATCCAGAACATTCCTTCTCCTTAGCAAGAAGGTAGGGAGTGGTTTCATGGCCCTGTAACACCGGCAGGAGTCATGACCTGAAGCTGAGGAACCCATAAGAGAGTGAGTGCTCTTTGGAAATCCGCCCAGGTATTTTCACAGTACCAAACACTGAGGTATTTAAACATCAGTACTAAAGATCCATTAGGAACACGTTCAGAAGATGGCAAGCCAGAAGTCTTATTGGTCTTTGCTGTTCATTCCAGGGAAGTGAAGGAGAGTGAAACTAACATCTGTGTGGCAGACCAGCTGCTCACCACAGCGCGGTTGCTCCAGCTATCAGAATGCTGCTGGAATGTCGACAGCCCAAATCAGAGATGTTTTCTGGAGTGTCCTAATTTCGGAGACAGCTCAGGGATAGCTTCACTTACATTTGTTTAACTAAGATTATTAATGTTCTCTCAAGCCAAGGACGATAGTGACAGCCAACAGAGTACCCAGAATGGGTTACCCACTGCTGACCTTGTTCAAAATGTTGGCCATTTGAATTCAGAGCAGTGTTCCTGCAGAACAAGGGGTGATACTGATGTATGCTCATACTTATTTTGCATGTCATTGATTTGTTACCTCTGGTGGATATCTAGGCAGAGAATTTAATCTCATTTGGCTGACAGAAAAAGAGCTCAATATACACATTCTGCATAGTACCGGAAGGTTTTGCCTGTGTGTCAGTAGCTAAAGCGACCTTCTCCCTTCAGGTCCCAAGGAGGCTGGAATGCGATGTAATGATCAAAATAAAAGTTATATATATAAATATATATATATATATATATAAAAGCAATTAAGACACAAAGTCCTGAGAGAGGCAAAACTAAAGTGTACAGGGCATGCCCCACAGAGCCTAGCTACCGACCCCACACATACAGGTCGCTGCTGGGCGTGACCATGGCCACATAACCCGCCGCTGGACACGGACACGAGGCGGTTCCCTGGGTTTAGCTCCACAGCCCCGCCGCACGAGGCGGTTCCCTGGGCTTAGCTCCACAACCCCGGCCCCCCCCCGGGGGCAGCCGCGCACCCCAGCCCATCCGCCTGACCGCCTCAGCCCCCAGCCACCCGCCTCCAAACCCGCTCCCTATGGGGCCGGCGAGGCGGGCCGTTCCCGGCGCGGAGGGCGCTTAGAGCGGGCAGGGCTCGGTGCAGGCCTCTACGTTCCGCTAGGCCCGGCGCTTGGCCGTTGCTATAGGAACGCGCGCCGGGCCGCCGGAGCGCGGGCGGCGGGGCAGCCCCTCTCGCGAGAGCTGCGGCGGGGCGGAGCGGAGAGAAGCAGAGCGGGCGGTGGGGTGAGCTCATCCCGGGCGCGGATCTCCGCGCAGAGCACGGTCCGGCAGAGCGAGCGGCGGTGCCGGCTGCCGCCGCCGCAACTTTGTTGGGTGAGTTGCGAGCGGGAGCGCCGAGCCGGGGCGGGCTGCGCGCCGTCCTCCTGCCGCCGTGCCTGCCGCGGAGCCGGGCGCGGGGAGCCGCCGAGCCGCTGACCGAGGGGTGTGTGGGGGGGTGTGTGGGGAGCGGACCCCAGCCCTGGCGCTGCACGGCGCGGGGGCTGGCGAGGGCTGGCGGCCCGGGCGAAGCTTACTCGCAGCCCCGTTGGGCGGGGGGTCGCCGGAGCCCGGCGAGCTCTTGCCCGGGGCGGCCCCTCAGTCCCCACCGGGGGAGAGCCGAGCCGGTTTTTTTTTTTCCGGATTGGTGTCTCCTTCTCTTCCGGGAAGGCAGCCCCGAGAGGGAGTATCGCGGCCGGTGCCCCGGCGGGAGCGCGGGCGGGTGAGCGGCCGGAGGCGGCGGTGAGTGGCGGCGGTCCGCGCCGTGTGCCGCTCCGCTCCGTTCGCGGCTCCTCCCGCGCCGCCCAGCCCCGCGGGGGCGGCCGCTGCCCTGCGGCGGGAGAGGCGCTCCCTGCGGGACCGGGAGCAGTGGTGGCGGCGGCTCGGGGCTCGACGCGTAACTTGTGTGTTGCTGCGAGTTGCACTTCAGTGCCTTGTCCTTCACTTCTGATAGCCGCCGAGGGGGAGCTGTGCTGGTTTTGTTCCGAGGCGGTGCTGGGGACACGGTCATGATAACAATTAGGTAATTCAGTGCCGGTGGGGATGCGCTGACTGCTCATCAGCTCATGAGGGAGGGGGTGGAGGAGCAAAATGTTTGCGGATGGTATTTGATTCTTCACTGGGAGCCTAGAAAAGTGGAATGCCTTAAACTGGATCTTACGGGGAGGGAAGAGGAGATAGGGAAGCAAGGAAAGGTAGGTGAGAAGAGGGATAACCTTCCTACGAGGAGTTTGTTTGCTCTTCCCCCGCTTTATATTGCATGAAGTCTTGATGTTAATGTCCTCATGCTATATTTAAAAATAACTCGTTATTTGCACTAAGTGTGATGCAGCTTTGGCTCGTTTAATGAGGCATTCGCCCGTTCGTGTCTGATGAAGTAGTGGTATGAAATGGGAATTGCTCAGGTTAACGAAGATCTCCTTGCATAACCTTGGCCACAGTACGTGTGTGTTTTATTTGGAGGAGGCACGTTATTTACCCAAAGAAGAATACATAGGTGGCTTTTGGATAATATTACAAAATCGCTTTTAAAGATTTTTGCCTGCAAGATCGCTTCTAAACGTGCTAGTGATGCCGCTTTAATGAACCCACTGCTGTGTGCTGAAGTGTATCTGTGAGCAGGGACCCTGAGTTGATGACACAATGCAAATTTGTTTTCAGAGTAGAGGTGTCACATTTCATTACCTTTCAGGTCATGAAAGGATGAATCATGAAGATTTGTGTTTTCTTTAGAAAGCAGTCCTTTTGGAGTTTTGATTGTGGGTTTTTCCTTTTTTGTTAGCTATGGGAATTAAGCATTCGATTCCTTTAAGACATAAACCAGCTTTGTGTTAAGGGAAAAGAGTCTTTCCCCCTACACCATTTTTTGCATGTTGTTACTGCAAGTACTAACTGAATAATAAACACCTGTGTTTTCTCTGGTGGAGAGTTTGGTCGTTATTTATTTGGAAGGTTTTGCTTGGCTGGCCTCTGCTCCTCTTCTGCTGGAGGGGTGGGAGAAACAGGTGGAAATACGAAGGTAGATGTTTGTGGTAGTTGTAATTGCAGAGAGAGATCTCCAAGTTGGGTTTCACAGTCAAGGCTTTTATGCCTTAGGCCATCAGATGCCATACTGGTTATTAATCCAGAAATGATGTGGGAACTTCAGATTTATCTTTTCTTAGTTATGAAACACATGTTCTGCTTAAGCAAAGCTAAAAAGTTTCATGTTTGTTTGTTTTCTCTGTAACTACTGTCTTTTTTTCATTGATTGCTAACTTGGGACAGATTTTCTTCCCCCTATTTTAGCAGTGTTTGTTTATGGCTAGTAGATTAAAGGATGTGCACTTAGTTGCTCAACAGTGTCTTAAGAAGGTATTACTGATGCTAATAAAATGCTTAGTGTTAACATTGCTGCTTGGGATACACATACTTAGCTTTCGGTTGTGGTTTGTAGAGCCTCTTAGATCATGAAGTCAGAAGCAAAATGGGATGTCAACTCTGACTATGGCAGGGCTGTGAAAGGTTGCTTGATTAAAGAGGTGAGCGGGTGTAGAGGTAGGCACTGACACAGAGCTTTGAAAGGGTGGAGCTGTGGTCAGAAATAAAAACTTAATATGGGGACATGTAATTCACAACCTATTTTTTCTATGATATATGATTGTGATTTCACTTACGATTGTCATTTTTACTCGTGTAATTGGTCTGGGTTTGAGAAGCCTTTTCTCTCATGTTTATCAGATACATAATTTTAAGGTTTCAGATTAACTTTTGTCTAGCTGTTGTTTTAAAAACCATGTCCAAATGTGGCCTTCCCACCCTCCCTGATTTTCAGGATTTTTTTTTTTTAATCAAGCTTATAAGCATTTTGCTGCTGCCTCAAGAATGTTTTGTTCTTACGTAGCTCTTTGTCCTCTGTTGTAAATGTGTCTCAAATACATCCTTTAAAATGTCTATTTAAGAATTATGAATTCTGCTAAAATGAACACATTTTTTATTTCTAAGGTAGGAGATCGAAACTTAAGAATATAGAATATTGCTGCTAGTTATTTTGGATTTTACAAAGGTTATGTTCTTCCAGTTAAGGTGGATAATTTTATAAATACATTGGGGAGATAAGAGGTAGGCTTGTAAGAGAAAGGGCTGAGGCCCAGCTGTATTTCTTTTCTATTCCTTGATCTGTTTTGTCCTGTAGTATGTCCACTGTAGAGAAGGAAAAGGGAACTGTTTTCTCCATACCAGTAGTTTAATACCTTCAGCAAGGGGGTTGCTGCAAGCTATTGAGTTCTTGCTGCTGCTGGTTAGAAATCCTGGATGCCCTACTGGAGTGAAGAAACATAGCTTCTGCCTTCATCAGAATTTCAGTTGCACAACTTGATTTCCCTAATGCTGACATTTTCAGAGGTTTAATTTTATTCTTGTTGACCCCATGTGTTGGTTAGTTGGCAAAAAGTCTTGATCTGTTTCCTTGGCTTTCTAGGCTTCTTGCAGATTCCTTTTTTTCCTCAGCAGCTTCTTAATTTAAATATTTAAAAAGTCAATAAAGCATGATTTAATTATCTTTCAATACCTTATTATAATACCTTTTTATATCTTTGTTTACTTCATTATCCATCTTAGATTTTTATGAATTTGTTCTGAAACCCATTTAAGTTCTTGTTATGACAGAAATATAGCAATAATAAGTGCAGTTACTACTTTTCTCAATGTAAATGCATATATTCTAAAATCTGCTAGGTGAGGCTTTTGTTGGTTCAGTATATCAAATTAATAATATATGAAGTATCTTTCTGTGAGGGGATAAAAATGTCACATTGTTCAGTGTTTTATGTTTCCAGGGAGATGTCACTTCAGTCTCTTGAAATCAAGTACATCCCTCTAAATAGCAACTTTTAAATACTTTAAGCTTTATATTTCAATGAGTTCAGTTTAACATTGGAATGAGGATTCTAAAGCTGGAGGCTTATAGAGTGGGATTTTAAGGGTTTATGAGAGGTGAGATAGTCTGTACTTAATGAAAGGTAATCGATGTTTTCTGGGAGTGGAATCTTGCCAGCAGTGGTTAACTGAAGACACAGCTGTAAACCCGTAGATGATGGGCATTGGTGAGGCTGAGTGGTAATAATTTTGTGGTTTTGACTAATTGTGTTTTTTAGTCCTTATGCAGCTGGCAGTGCAAGACTAGCAGTCTATAGCAGTTTCAGTGTTAGCTTTGGTAGTAGTTTTGCACTCTGAACTTTGGGAAACCCTTTAGGAGTTGCAGAGGCACTAGAAATGCTTGGTTACTTAACTGTGCTTTTGAACATGAATCAGCAGATAGAATGGTTTTAGATGTCTGTCTTTGAATATGTAAAGCTAAGTTATGTCATTGTCTCAGCCTCTTTAATTTTGAATTCTATAGCACCAGTTTGATGGGTAGGCTGCTTGATTTAGATTCTGCCACATGTCTTTTATGGTAAGTGTTAAGTGAGACTAAGCATTTGCAAGTCTTTGTTTTCTTTACGGAAGCATGTTTTAAAGAGCACTTCATTTAAATATGGTGGCATAATACTTCTCATAATCTTGATAGCTGGTGAATTGTATGATTACTAACTGAGTATTTGTCAGTGTTGTTTCAAAGGTCTGACTCAGTGAGTGGATCCTCTCTTGCAGGCCTGTGTTTAATTAGTAGAATCAAAATCAATCATGGTTTCGCCTCTTCATACTACTTAATCTTCGATGTGTTGGATGCTGGAGTACAGTAGCAGTAGCTCATATTCCCTGCAGAGTGGACAGATCTCAGTTTTTGAGAGAGAGATCAAGTTTCTAAAAGGTACATGGCTGTATAGAACAACTTTTCTGAATGTGGGGTATTTATAAAGATAATACATAAGGAAGAGTTTTTAACTGGGAAAAGCAGTCTATGCTTAGGCCTGAGAGGCACTTTGAAATTTTTATTGATGTTTTAATACTCTTTTGCCTTTGATCTTGGGCACTGTAGAAAGTGGAGAACACTTCCTCAGGTGTTAAAGATTAGCAAAATACCTTTTGAAGACCCAAGTTTTATTTTGGAAGTTGTCAAAATTTAAATAAGCTACTGGCATGCAGTTGTTCTAAAGCTGGGTTGTTCGTCATGGTTCCATATGGTTTGTTTCAGTGTTCAGAATCCTCTTGGTGGTGGTTATTTCAATTTGTGTTTGTTTAACTTTTGAGGTAACAATTTTTTAACCTTAGGATACTCATTTAGACCTTGGATAGATGTTTTTTTACTGCAGCTATGAGAGACGCATGCTGGTGTTGAACTTGTGCATCAGCATGGGGTTTTATCTCGGTGAAAGGATTTCAAGTTAACCCTGAAATATATCTTGATTTTCCCAACT